TTTCTTTAAGATCAATCAAATCGTTACTAATCTGTAATAACATAATTCAAGTTGCTAGAATTAACTTAACATGGCGATAACAAAGTAAAAGACACTATTTGCAATGCTAAGCAGCACTTTCAGTCAGACGTATTTGAAACACTTGTCAAAAACTCAACAAACCTGAGTGTAAGTGCATAATGTTGAGTCATCGATCCTATATATGCACGCACACAGCCACCCCGCGTCTGGCCAAATAAAACAAAACGCACCCCCAACCCCCGGCGTCTAGTCGCTAGACAACAAAGACTGGAGTACCAATCTTTCCGGGCTGTTCTCTCAAAGCAAAATGACCTCTAACTGAATCCTTTAAAGTCCTAAGTGCTCGCATATACTCTCGGTTCAGGAAGCAATGTGTTAAGTGATGTTGCAGTTAATTGCGATCATTTTATGCTATAGGACGAGGTGCAAAACGAACGCTATGCAATTTTTTATAAACATTAATCGTCCTGCCTGATAAGAGTTTCTGATATCTTAAAATTTTAATTGTTGTAGTTTACCAACATTGACTCATTCTCCATTTTCCTCGACTTTGATATGGGAATTCAAGCGATTGGAATGGAATTTGAGAGAGAGAAGAGTGAAGAGAACATTCTTTCTACTTTCTATGAGTTTTTTTAACTCAACAAAGCGATGACGCTTTTTAAGATAAAATATGTAACAGTTTTATCATACAATAAATGTAAATGATTCTCATTTAATTAAATACTCGAAAGGGTTTAGCTTTTATAAACAACGAGCTGTTGCCCGCGACTTCGTACGCGTGGTATAAGAAAACATACGAACTATATAAATTACAAAAAGCTACGTATCCCTCGGGAACCGGACATTTCTCGGGGATGAAGTTTATCCCATGTGTACTTCAGACTTTGTTTTATATCTGTGCCAAATTTCAGTAAGTTTTGATGAACCGTTGCAGAATGATCGAGTAAACATTAAAAAACTAAATTAATGAATCCCACGAGAACCGTAACTATTCCCGGCATAAAAAGTAGCCTATGTGTTCTTCCAGACTATGTTCTAAACCTGTGCCAAATTTCATGGAGATCCGTTCAGTCGTTTACGCTACAAACGCTAACAAACATCCATCCATTCATCTAAACTTTCGCATTTACAATATTTGAAAACAATTACATCATAAATATTCTAGAACGGTCTACCGGCTCAATCTTATTACTACGTAACTCTAATAGCTGCATGGATCTTGATGAAATTAGCGTAGTACATAATCTAGAAGGAAGGCTACTTACTAAATAAATTTTAATTCCACACGGACAGAGTCGAGTGCGTTAGCTTATATACCAATAAACACATAAAAGATTACTTACGCTTTGACGTTGTACCAGGTGGCTGGATACACTTTATGCTGCTACAAATGTTCTATGTACCTGCATTTAAAACAAAGTCATGATTAGACGTGAGATATAATATACAAGTAAGAATATTGGAAACGCGAGAGCTAGAAGTGTACGCGCCAAATGGTAGGCCGCTTTCTTTGTCTACCGTTCTTAACGGCAGTAACTTTTTATTTATTTATTAAAAAACCACTTATGGTTATTATTTTTGGTGGTGGTTTTGACCAATTTTTGATTAACCGTAGGATAAAATTATGTCGTTTTTTAACGAATATTTTTCTTGAGAACTGTACATTCATAATAGATGGAAGTCTAAGATTTCGTTCCGCTCGGTGTCTCACTTCGAGTTCATAATTAAAAATCTCGAAAGTCAATTAAACTTGTTCAGAGGGCGCCCGCGGGCTCGTCTCTTTCAATTCAGATTTGCGGAAAGTCAAACTTCCGTTTTATGTATAAAACAATATATAAATTAACATAAATCGCACTAAAATTAAAAAAAACTGCCTACTTTTTGATATTAGCCTCGTAGTATGCAGACCAGTGAAGTATTTTTTCGTTACGTTAGTGTAATTTATTGATTAAAAATGTACATTTTATAAATCGACAAAAGATGGCGCTTATTTAAAATAAAAAAAATCATAGAGGGCGCTGTTTTGAACCCTAAATTCTGTACAACGAATACATACTTTTTAGTACCTCTAGGAATCGATCCAGATAGCCGCATTTCCGTCCAGTGACGTCGTAAATCTTTAATGGCCCCTCTTTAACGTCCGTAGAAGCTCTCTTCGTATTTACGTTCACAACGTAGGTGAGACTACGGAAGCTACCAGGTAATACGGTACGTGCATTTTCCAATCCCACGAGGCATACTGCACCTGAAATATAATATTAATGACCTTACAGCGTCGCAGGGTAGTTTAATGAAGTCTCTCACTTAAGTAATCATGAGAGTCGCCAGGGGGCAAGAGAGGGGCAACTGCATCGCCCTAGAGTCGAAATTTTTTAAATAAATTTCTAGAGACACTTATAAACAGCTCAAAAATCATATTTTGATAAGCATTCTCATTTGATTGGTATATAAAGAGTATTTTTATTATTAGCCCACCCTTAATCATCAGCCTGCCTCCGCCCCCTAAATCATTGGCTAGCGGCGCTTATGATAATAAAATAAATTCAAAAGTATGAATGGGTACAACTTTGTGACTAACTCTAAAACAGCTGAATAAATCTGGATGCAAGGTGCAGAGATAGATTATAGTTTGGAATAACGCATACGTTACATCCAAACTCAGTTCCTATTGTACACGGACGAAATCGTGACAAACTGCTAGTATATGTTACTAGTTGTTACCCGCGACTCCGTCCGCGTGGAATTAAAAAAAAGGAGAGTAGCCTATGTGTTATTCCAGATTATCCTTTACATCTATACCAATTTTCATCGAAATCCGTTCAGCCGTTTAAGCTACAAACTCTAACAAACATCCATCCATCTATACTTTCGCATTTATAATTTTAGTATTATAGTAGAACCTCGATAAGTTAAAGTCCAAGGAAAACACAAAATATTTTAAGTTATAGAGGTTTTAAGGTATCAAGGGTCTATGTTATAAAGGTTTTGTGCTCTGATGGGAAGGGATCACATTATTTTTTGAAGTTATAGAGGTTTTTAAGTTATCGAGGTTCTACAGTATGATTAGTATGAAGTATTGATTACATGTGACGTCGGCTAAAGCTTCTTGTAATAAAGTAAAAGACATGAATGGATGTGAGCCTTCATGTAGTAAGGTAGTACATAGAACAGTGTGTTAGAACTTGTATTAACTCCTTAGGGACCGAGCGAACGTCGCCACGAGAATGTATACGGCATTTTACCTCTAAATATCACACACATATAATACGTTAAGTTGTAAGTATAAAACTATATCGGTTTTGTATTATATTCTATTGAAATACGGTACAACTTTTCTTTACAATTCTTCATCGTGTAACGACACATATTGCTTTTTATGAAAAATAATCTCAAAAAGGGAGTCATATTTTCTACAACAGTGGTGTTGAGGAGTTGTTTAGTGAACACCTCAGTCGGGAATAAGACAATTAAGCCTTAGGTTGCTGCGGCATTAAGCCGAGAATCATGACATCTCATTGGGTTTGTGCCCAAAGGATTGAGGAACCGGGCATGGGTCACAACTCCATGCTTGCGGCTGGGTTGGATACGATTTAGTAGCTCTGTACCCATCACTAGATGACCGTGTAGAAACGGACTCCCCGTAAGTATTCATTCATCCGACATATATATACAGAGGGTGAAGAAAAAAGTTAATAGCGTGTTTTAGAATGGGGACATACAATTTTTTTTTAATTTGTAGCGTATTTTAACAGAAAATCTACGAACATATCGAAAATTATGATTTACCTATATTATAAGAGAAATCGAAATAAATTCGATTATTACACAAAATATTTCCTTCAAGTTTTTTTTGGTTTAACATTTTTGCAGATTAGATGTTTTAATATAGATTGCTTTTGCTTTATACAGCGGCTATTGTATATAAAATTATAAAACGAAATGCATTGGAAACACGGACACATAAATAATTCGTTACAACGTGTAGTTAAGTCTTACCTGCAGTTTTGCAGGAAACTTCAAGGGATCTCCTTACTACTAGTCCCGGGGGACACTGCAACGCAATACGGAACGAAAATATGGATGAAGTAGAAACTTTATTGTCTAGAGCACCGAGTAAGGCTTCTTTACGATTGTTTTGTTTTAAAATTTTTTTTTACCTATAGGTAAACGAAAAATGTCTGGTATTATGAGTTGACTATGACTACCTACGTATAAATTATATTTGTGTTTTGTGTTCTGTTAAAGCTTTGTTTCACAACAAAAGTGTTTCGGGAGAAGAAAATCAAGGCAAAATTAACAATTTAGACAAAAGATAAAGGTAGGTTAAAGTTAGAGGTAACCTCAGCTAGAACTTTATGACGATGAAAGAAAAAAGATGTAATTTAATATTGGATAAGATGGATTCAAATTATATATCGAACTAGAAATTATATTAAATCTCCCTAATCTTTAAAATTCAATCAATAAAATTACTTTTAACGAAACACGAAAATATAAAAAAAAATTACCATTCCTTTTAAATTGTTGCCCTCTAGCGGGTAAGATCAACACTAGCTCAAAGCAAAGTTGATTGAACATAGGTAAGCTTAAGTGAGAAATGGGGAGAAAAACTGCCTTTTGCCGCATTGTCGACTGTTGAGAACTTTTAATTTACAAATGAAAAAGAAAAGCTAACTTTATTGCAGTTACAGATTTTAGAAAATAAAACAAGGCAAAAACCTCGGTTACATTTTATTAATACTGAAAATAACTTAAAATTCTTGCACCTTGGTCATATCCTGCTTCCACTCTCATGTGGCCCGTTACGAGTCGTTTTAGCTGTTTCCTCGGTTGTGTTACTGGAGGTGGTTGGTATTTCTTTACTGCTGGTTTCGGATATTTTATTGTAAGAAATTGAATTCCTTCTCGAGTTGGTGTAGTCTTAAATATCGCTTTACTGTATTTCGATAGATTCCCGGCTAGGAAATTCATTTTCCACAAATCGAGGATAGTGAAAAAATTTCAGATTGTCATAAGAAATGTCAAGTTTGATTTTTTTTCGTTAGTACCAGAAGTTATGCGGTCAATAGTTTTACCTATAAAAGTAACGTTGGTATAGGTTTGCATTTTGAAAAAACATAATTTTTTAACAAATTAAAAATAACAATGCATCTTTATAATGTAATTAAATATGATATTTATCGATTTTAAAATAACCTACCAAAATACTGTCACAAAGAAGTAATAGCAACACCGTACATTGCGCTGTCCAATTAAATGCCAATTGTTACCAATTGCTACCAAGTGCCAAGTGCCAACCACCGACCCACTGTGACTGTGCGTCTATAATCAAAAGTTTTTGATTGAATTAAACTTTCAAACTTGATAAAGTTATGAAATAATAACAAATGTTTATAAGTTTTAGTGGTCGTTCTGGATTCTATACGGCTCCCGCATGGTTCCTGTGATATTTTATGAATAGTGTTAGAAACCAAAGTCCGTTACAATTATGTCTTTTTCATTTGGAACACCGTCAAGCGCTCCCGCTAATTCCTCTTTAAGTAGTGGCTTTAATTTTGGCGGAAATAAGTAAGTACCTTTATCGTAATAAAACCTCCTTGAAGACTCGATCAATTATTTACTTTTTTTAAAGTGACAATTGATTATAACCTAAAATTGAAATGAGATAAATAATTTTTCAGGCCAGCTACTCCAGGTTTTGGGTTAACTGCCACAACACAAGCGTCAACTGGACTATTTGGGAATACATCGGCTTCTTCTGCATTTGGTTCTACGCCTGGGTTTGGTGCTGGTACCTCAACGTCTGCGTTTGGAGCGGCCGCGACTCCGGCTTTTGGCGCGGTGTCTGCAGCACCCGCTTTCGGTACTAGTGCCGCTGCACCGGCGTTTGGTTCCACGGCGGCACCTGCGTTTGGTGCTGCATCTACAACTCCAGCGTTTGGTGCCACATCCACGGCACCAACGTTTGGAGCCACGGCAACTCCCGCGTTTGGAGCCACAGCAACTCCAGCGTTTGGGGCTAGTACAGCTACACCTGCGTTTGGATCAACTACAACACCAGCCTTTGGTATGTATTTTGAGTATCTTAAGAAAATTTACTTAATTGAACTCTTTAGTTATAATTATACATATAATTTTGTCTTTTGATGTAGATATCTAGGGCTTATTTTATTCATTGTAATAAACTGATCAATTCACATTTTCATGCTTTGATATTTATGGATCGGTAAGTTATTACTTTGTGACTAGTTGATTATTTTGTAAAATCTAAGGGATTACAAACCAATGAAATATCCAGGTACTGCAGGGGCTTCAGCATTTGGTGCCACAGGTCTGGGTGCAGGTTCCCTTAGTTTCGGAGGTACTACAACCACTGCATCTACTGGTAAGAAAGGGCACTGTAATTAAATATTTTAAAAATTGTAAGGAACTTTCACAGTGATTGCAAATATTTTTTAAATGAATGACTTGTACAGTCAGCAGTATAAAAATATTTTTAATAAGACTTACCTTTAGAATTTAAACATAAGGGAGTAGTCTATATGATCTTTCAGACTATCCTCTACATATTTACCAAATTTCATCAAAATGTATTTAGTTAACAAGACTAAAAACTCCATCCATCTAAACTTTCTTATTTATATTAGTATGATTAATTTGTCATTGTTAATGTATGCATGGATGTAAACATACACACAGACATGCAACTTGAAACCGCATATGCAAATCTTTGAAGCTTACGAAATGTATATTTTTATGGAGTCGACTATACAAGACAGATCTTTTCTTTGTAGAAGTAAATGGGCATTACTACAGTGTATAAATATATAAAAACTTTCATAACAATACATATAATAAACTGTAATTTTCAGGTTTAAGTTTTGGGACCCCAGCAACTACAAAGACAGGACTGGGTGGTCTCGGAGGGTTTGGTTTTGGTGCAACCACAACCACTCAAACTGGACTTGGTTTATTTAATACCAGTACCACAACAACCGCTGCTAGTACATTTGGTAAGGATATAAAACCATATAACAATAGATAGGACATGAGGGACAAACCAAACTCCATAGATCCTAGATACTACCTCTAACTAAAGGTCTTTGAAAAAAATATGCGGCTGACTGTAACATTCGATTTTAAGTGGGAAGCGTATTTAATTCCTTTACTACAGTCGCCTTGTATCTTATCCTAACAATTTTCTTACATAATTGTAATACATTATACAAGATAATCCTACCAACTATCCTTTTTCAGTATAATGTTCCCCTACCAAGGTTCACCGTCTCCTTTCTTCCCTTTAACCCAAACCCTCCATACAATACCTACGATATCACTGGATGTTAACACCCAGGGTACAGACACGGAAGAGACAAATCGGAAGAGAGGTTATGTTATAAAAAGTGCTACCAGAGATACATATCCACTTTTAAGCCCTTCAAAGGGTGAGCCTTTAATTTTTATATTTCTGTAGAGTACCGCATAATAAATAATGCAAAGTTTTCTACTTCATACACAAACTGCACTATTAAATTATTATTATTATATTATTGAATAAGAAATGGGCAATTGTTTTTTTATTTTAAGTTATTAACTTTATCTTTTTCTTGATCACATATGTATTTCCTCCAAGGGTTCGCAAAGTGTGATGATGTCAGCATGACTTTTTTTTTTCTTTTTTTTATTTAGTTGGTATCTCATTACAGGGCTTAGTACACTGAATAGTAATGTGTCTGGAACACAACCATCTGCATCAGGTATATTTTCTTTGCGATTTTTCTTTTTTTTTTATTCTTTGATTATATAAAAAAGATAGGTAATTTTTTCTTAAACAAATTGATTAATGATAGACAAGAAACCCAGAGCATAAAAGTAAGGCGAAAATTGTCTCTGAAATGCTTTTTTTATTCAAAGTGAACAAATATTTATTATACTTAGACAAATTTGTATTTAACACTCCTGTATATATATAGATATTGATGAAGTATATTTTCGCGACTGAGTAAGATGCAGAACATTTTATTTATTATGATTATTAAAAATTATTTTTTTTGTCATAGCAACCCCAAGTCTGGGACTAGGCGGGTTGGCAACATCGGGTATTGGTGCCGCAAATACTACAGGTGATGGCAAATGTAAGTTAATATTATTCTTTATAACTATTTTATATGGGTTTCTAATTACTTACCGTTTGTATCCTGTTTCTGAAGGGATCTTGATGAAATTTGGCATAGATGTAGAGGATATCTGGAAGAACACATACTCTACATGCTTTTGTTTTTTTCAATTACGCGTGAACGGAGTCCCGGGCGAAAGCTAGTATATTTTATAAAGTTTAAATTCATATATGTCTATTTTAATAAGTCTGTGATTACGTCCTTATAAATGAAAAATTGTTAAGATATGTTTATTATAATTTCTCATTTCTTTTGAATTTCACTATACATTTAACATGAAAGCTTTGTGTACTGTCTGTATGTTTATAAACATGTTGTGTTGCAGCGGAACCGCCGAAGCAGTCGAAACTACCAAATGAAATATCAACATTAGTGGATACATTTAAAGAGTTTGTTAAAAAACAGAAATCTCTCAGTTCAGAAGTTATGCGCCTGTCTATCAAACCTTTACACAAGGTATGAAAGTTTTTATTTACTTCAGGTTCTGTGTAAAAACAACAATTTTATGCCATTTCAAATATAAGAATCAATTTTTAAATTTACAAATAATGTCGCCAAACTGCACACTTATTCTTATATAATAACATCTATTATAATTTTGTAAGAAATGCTTTCTTAGTTTATTTTTTGCAATAGTTTTATATTTATTTCCACTATATTTATCTCTAAGGAATTTGATGCTATTATATAATTTAGGTATTACGTATTTTGTTGTCCTTTCCTCGTAATAGTTGTTAAAAAATGCATTTTTAAAATTTTTTGCCATTTTTAAAAAACCACAGTAAGGGTTACACTACATTTTGTAATACAATTTAACACTTAAATGCATGATTTTGACTTTTTAAATACCTTAAATTGAAACTGTATTACCCGTTGAACATAAATCAAGGGAAATATAAAGATTTTTTTAAAAATTATCTATTGGGTGTGGAAAAAAAGACTGATGTATATTTCTACATTTGCATGATGAGATGCATTTGCATCATCATGTATTTAAGGGTAAAAAATTCAGGCTTTTAAGGGTTACGTAGTTGCAAGTCGCAAGTAACAATAGTGTAATGTACTTACAGGTGGGTCGCGAGGCGGAGACGACGCTGCGCGCGGCGGTGGCGCTGCGCGGGGAGACGGGCAAGGCGCGCGCGCAGTCCCGCCGCCTGCGCACAGCAGCTGCGGACGCGCTCGCCGCTGCAGAAGCTGCGGCGCGCGACCCGCCCGGTCAGTATACTACTCTACACAGACCATAACTCACTAAATTGGGTATTTAACGTGCTTTGTATTTTTGGACTTTTAAATTGTTTATTGATTCTAAGTTTTTTATTTTTAAAATAGATGTAAAAATTTAGATTTGTGATAAATAAGCTGTAAGATTTTGTTGTTGTTTAAGTTTAAATTTGTAATGAAGAAAAAAGATTCCACCCGAAAGTTCCTGACCCAAACATATTAGGATGAACGAGAGGGTGGCATAGCCGTCTATTAAACAAAAAACTCATAAAATCATCTATCTATACTTCAATACTAATGTGGAAACGCGTAAACACACTAAATTTGTAAACTGGTATACTGCCAGGTTCAGAGCTGGAGGGCAACGCTCCACCGAAGTACGTGAAGGACCTGATCTGCGAGCTGGAGCAGCAGCTGATCGTGTTCAGGCGGCAGATGGACGTCGCCGACAAGCAGATGCAGGCCGCGCCCAAACTACTTACAGAACAAGGTGACTAACTTATACAATGCTATGTTTCGCCCGCCATTCATAATTCTGCAATTTAAAAAAAAGTGAGTACCCTATGTATTCTTCCATACTATCCTCTACATTTGTTTCAAATTTAATCGAATACTGTTCCTCCGTTTAGGCTACAAACTCTAACAAGCATCCATCCATCTAAATCTATACTTAATATAATAAAGCGTAAACATACACTGCTTTGTGGCGTAAGATGTCAGCAATCACGGCATATTTTTGCATAATTCTTTCGTAAATAAAAAGGCCTACACTTACGACACGCTTTAGGCTATATATTTTCACGCTATTAAATTTAGGGGAGGAAAAACCTTCAAGTGGGAAAGGGGCCATAAACTAAAACCTGTCATTTAGATCACATCTACATTAAGGAAGCAAGGTTGCCATGGTTTGTCATCATGTCATAATTTGACAAATGTGAACAATAAAATAGAACTTTTATAATTTGATGCGGATGAAGCCGCACGGAACAGCTAGTATCTCAATAATACTAGATAAGATTAATAAGATGGATACAGTAATGTGTATTACCTTCGCAGAGCTGACGCTGGGCATCCGGCGCATGCACGAGTCGCTGGTGGCGCTGGCGGGCCGCCTGCAGACGGTGCACGCGCAGGTCGACGCACAGAAGGAACAGTATCTCAACCTAAGGAAATACATACTAAAAGATCCCACTAATGTATTCGATACACCATCAGGTTAGTGCGTTTCTCAACTACTGTGCCGCGGCACTTTTGTGTGCCGCCAAATTTTGCGTATTTTTGTCAAACTAATCATGCAGTGTGTTGTAGTGTAGTGTAGTAAGTAAATAATTTTTATCTTGTCCTTTGTGTGCCGCCAAATTTTGAAATCGTTAAATATGTGCCGCAACAAAAAAAGGTTGAGAATCACTGATCCAATGACTCATTAGCATTAGATTGACCTATGTTTGAACTGAGTAAAACTTAATTTACGTAGTCCGTAAATGCATTTAATGAAAGAATCGAACGAATAATACTAACGAATGGTTAAAGCTGGGAAACCGGCCGTTAGTACTTGATCAATAACATAACAGACTTTCAAAAATGTATAGACGAGGCAGGGAACAATATTTTCTCACCAGTACTTTCTCTGAAAGGTACGTCAGTTATCAGGTTTAGTGCTATCTTGTACACTGTTGATATGTTATAAAACATTTTACTAAATTATAAGCTCCATCTTTTGTTATTAAAAATAAAATATAGAAATTTAAATATAATTTAACACCTCATCATCATCATCACCAGCTCACTATACGTTCCCACTCTCCAGGCTCCTCCTCCTCCAAGCTCCTAGCCCACCCTAAGTTAGGATGACTAGGGCATAGTCAACCACGCAGGCCAAATGCGGGTTGACATCACACATATCTTTAAATTTCTTCGCCGATATGTGCAGGTTGCATCACGATGTTGTCCTTCACCGTAAGAACGTCGGGTAAATTATGTACATATGAAAAATCGAAAAAATCGAAAATCACATTGGTACGGCGGGATTCGAACCCAAGACCTGTAGATTACAAGTCAAGTGCCACTGAGCCACCGACGCTCTATTCAACACTTACTTCAATACAATTAATTATATTGCATGTTTTAATGATCAATTGAACTGTGGCTCCTCTATATATATTTTTAATCTCTGTTGAAACAATGTTATTATACTCCAATACTATGTATTTATACTACCTTTTGGATATTAATTTATTTATGATTGTCCTTTTCCAGCAAGTGCAAGTCTAGATCAAATTCTGCATGACGCGGAGGTGTCGCGGAAGAAATTGAAACCCAATACTTTACAAGATATAAGCCTAGGTTTAGGCAGTGCTGTGTTGTCTGATCCTAGGGCTGCATTAGGTGAGTTCTTATTTTAAACTAGTAGACGCCTACGTTGTATAAAAAAGCCTAGTCTATAACATTCCCGTGTGTAATTCCCTTCCCGTTAAAAACCTGTCAAAATCGGTCACACGGTTCCGGAGATTATCCGGAACAAACATTTGAGGACAGACATATTAAAAATTAATTTTTCGTTATTTACAAGGAAAATACATTATGTTCATGAAATATCATTTTTTTCGATATTACATATAGATCAAACATTTTGACATGACTAGCTTTCGCCCGCGACTCTGATCACGTGAAATTTAAAAAAGGCAAAAGTGAGTAGCCTAAGTGTTCATCCAGATTATCCTCTACATCTGTATCGAATTTCATCGAAATCCGTTCAGCCGTTTAGGCTACAAACTCTAACAAACATCCATCTAAATTTTTGCATGTATAATATTAGCATATAGTTTAAGAAGTGCGTATTAAATTACGCTTTTTCTTGTGGTTATTGAGATAAAATATAATATGATTTGTGGAATGAAATACACAACTTGCAGCTTTATTTTTATGTGTTATATTTTAATGTATTTCGTGTTCTTAGTTATTATTAGTGTTTTTTTACATTTTGAATGGATTTAATGTTTTATTTTCTTTCCAGGAAACATTCAACAGTTGGCAGGACCAACTCCTTTCACATATTTAGGTTCAGCCGTGTCTCCCTTCCCCACCGCAGATGGCACAGGTTAGTGATTAAACTCCTTTTCCACTGAGCAGATAGCCGTACGACTTACTTTAATGTAACTTAGTTTTTTATACTCTGATTAAATAAAAGTGTGAAAATATCATTGTTGCTGTTTCTTTGTCCACTAGAAATTAAAGACAAAATCAACAACAAAATAGTATTAGACCTAGCCTATGTTATTCAGTGGTAAATTAGCTTTCTAATTGTAAAATATTTTTTTAAATTGTTTTTTTTTTTAAGTTTATTCGTTACATACAAAAATATAAAATTATCCTTTTTATAATATTAGTATTGATGCTGAACAAATGTTTCTACCAAAACATGTACTTAGTGAAATATTTTTTTTTTCAATTTACATTAATAATATCCATAATAATGTTATTAAAAGGAATGATTTGTATTATTGTGTGTATTGAAATAACTCAAAAACTACTGGACCATTCAAATTTTTTTTCATTACAAAGCTACGTTCGTTATTAATGAGTAACATAGGCTATATTTTTCTATTTTTAAATTCTACACTAAACTTAAGACACTAATTCTATTATTTATATGAAATAGTTTGTTGTAACGACATTAATTTCATATTATTCTATTTCAGGCAACTGGCAACCCCAGCAACAGAGCAATTTCAGTTCGTCGCTGAATTTCAGCAGTTTCGGTGCAGTGGGACAGAGCGACAGCTTCCAGCTGCAGAAGCCGCCCGGCAAGCGCGGCAAGCAGTGATACTGGCGATAGGAGGTTACAACCTCCATACACACATACGTCATGTATATGTCGGAGTAACAAGCGGCGCGCAGATTATTTCCCAATATAGATAATTAACATGGTAACTTTTGTCCTCCATTGAAAGTTATAATATTTGTAATCTTTAGTGAAAACTGTTATCTTAAACTTTACCCCTTAAATGCTTATTTTTTATATAAAATTAAAAAAAAAACACATTTAATACAAGATCAGGAATTTAATAAGAGAAAAATAATAAAAATTGTAGCATCCAAATTTTTTTTTGTTGTATTTATTTAGTGCACATTAATGGTTAAATTTTGTATGTGCGTGACATCTACAAACCTTTTAGGGTTGTCCACCATTAAGTTACCAATTTCAAATGTTGCCAGCATTAAAAATTATTATTTGGTAGCAAGTTTAGTTCATAAATTATTTGCGCGCCGTTGTAAATATTAGAGGTGTAGGGTAGGCGGATATTATAGATATTTGGCATTGTTATATATTTTTGTTCTGATTTTTGTTTTTTTTTTATAGGCAAATTTTCTTTAAATTTGCAGGCACTTTTAACATTTCTTACCCTCTTTATGAAGTATTTTAGTTAAAAAATTAGTTTGTTTTTGCCTCATTTTTCTCATTAAAATATAGTATCGTATAAAATGTTTTAAATTATGTATTGTTGCTATATGTAATAATTTGTGCCTACCCTCATTTTTGTAATGTAACGTAAATATAACAAAGTGACTTCAAGTGAAAGTGACAACAAGTGTTAAGGTGAATGCAGAATAAGTGATTTTTTGTTTTTTTTCTTTGATTTTCGTTTGATTATATATTGCGATGATTAGCATGAAGATTGTATGTTATTAGTTATTAATGTAATAAAATAATTGGAAATTATATTTCTATATCTGGTTTGTATACATTTACTACAAAATGTATGTAGATATACATTTAACTTGGTGTTAAATGTTTGTCTTGTTGAATACCGAAATAATGTATATTAAAAAAGTGTATATTTATGATTTTTTTGGTAGGATAATCCTACCAATCTAGTAGAAAAATCCATTTTACGGATTTTTAAATTATAATGTATCTTCTATTTTGTTCAATGTATGTATCAATCTCTTGTTGGAAAAAACATTTTAGGATGAATCTTCACTTGTAACAATTATTTTAAAATTATTGCCAGCCCTGTTCTTTATTTGGATAAGACAGAGATAGCAATAGTGTTCATATAAAAGTGACTTGAAAAACTGTAATGTAATAAACATTTGTATATGTAATTTAACGTCAGTTTATGTATATTTAATAAAATACAGTAATTTGTACCATAATTTTTGTTATCGAGGTAACAAATATAAGATATTATGTAAAATATAAATAATAATTTGATACGAAATTTTCCTATTAAATTACTATTACAATTTTGTAACAAAATATGCGTTTTAATTACCTTATAACTTTTTGAGTATTAGAATTATCTCGTTTTATTTACATGAAACAAATATTGTATTTAGTGCTAGGCAGCTAATTTGGAATTATTATTAAAACATATGAAATAAGGTGGGTAATATATAAAACCCTTCTAAATAAATGCAACTTAAAAACATAAAAAAATGAAAGTCACCATATTTTAGTTTTTTTTTTGTAAAACTATTTAGTTAATAAAATATTTTCTTATAATTTAATAATACTAGCTGTCGCCCGCGACACCGTCATCCAAATTAAAGAAAAAAGTTAGTATCCTGTGATTTCAAGACTAAGTTTTACATCTATGCCAAATTATCGAAATCAATTTAACTGTACTGGAGATACGTAATATCCATCCATCCAACCGTTCAGGTTTTTTATTACTAGCTTTTGCTCGCGACTCCGTGTACATCCGCGCGGATTAAAAAAACTTAATAAGTAGCCTATGTTTTCTCCTCTCTACATATGTTTATGCTAAATATCGAAATCGGATAAAACAACCATGCAAACTTTATTAAAAGTGAATATTTTAATTAGAAGTAAGTCTAATGGCGGGTCCTTAAATGGAAAAAGCCTGCTTAGTGCATTGTCATCCTTATCACACTCTATTAATATGACAGAGAGAAAAAACATTTTTCTATAACCCAGAGAACCCTCGTCTACTTGCTGATCTGTGCGAATAGGAACAAACCCTTTGGAAAAATCAATATAAACCAACGCCGTTACGACTCATGTTACCTTTATTTATTTCATATTACCATAAATCATTTACAAATCTAAAGATTAAAAGGGGGTACTGAAAGTCTTATTGAAAATTAACTATTCGATTTTAAACAAACCAAAGACAAGCGACATGTTAGCGGGAAAATACATGACGCCAAGGGGTAGCAACATTCTCGCCAGACAAAATCAATAATCACACTTTAGGGGAAACGCCTCTCGCATTCGGACCGTTTTCATCGTCACGTATATTAACATAAAATTGTGAATTAACTTCAAAACCATGGCGATTCGTCGTGATTGTTATTCTGCTGTTATAAAACAAGCGATTTACGAACTCACTGTGGATGAATATCAACTGGGCGGGATAACGCGATGTGAAAATCTCCGCAAGAAGTATCCTCCCAACCGATTTGAGAACGGAGGATCTAGCGCTGTGGTCGCTAGAGATGACTTGGACTACGTCATCCTGAGGATCGTTTGCATCAAGAAGTTTGATCGGGAGACCCAGAAGTGGAGGGTGTGCTTCTACAAGAAGAAGATTATAAGAGAATGCCACTGCGTTCCTGAGTACGCCGAAGACAGGATCAAGGATGCTGAGAAAATGTCGACGGATGACCAGCTGTGCGCGGCCTTTGCTTCTGTGTCACTTGACCAGCATTCGCAGAGTAGACTGGTTGAGTTCCAGAAGTGTTTCGCTGAGTTCATGCTGAACGAAGGGTTTGATGAGGGTGATTTCAACATGACCGATCTCACCCCCGGCAGCGCTTGCTGCAAACAACTGGAGTTGAAGAGCATTGAATACGCACAAGATCAACCCCAAGGAAGTGTGAATCAATAAATTGAATCCACTATATTATCTACGTAGTATCCAGTCTAGCTGGCTCTATCTCTATCCTATAAATATGCGCGTTGCGACAATATTAATTTAAATCTTTGTAAAATATAATTTTACCTATTATAAGACTTTATTATTTTTGTAAATTTATTTTATAAGAATAATATTTTATATTAATTTTTAATCTACAGTATGTTTAGATTTAAAAAAAATGTTTTAATCTTTTTTATGAAAATGTGTTTTTGACGCGACTTTTTCTTATATTTATCATGAATTTATAATCTTATATCTTGATGTATACATCTTTAGGGAAGTATGAATATTCATAATCCGTTTTAATCAAAGTTTAACTTTTCATGAAAACATTCATTCCATTTTAAAAAAAAAAATCTCATTCAACTTTGTCGTATTTAAATGTTTCTATGTGTAAAACATATATTAACCACTACTATTAAATAAACTAAAAAAATATATTAGTTTTTGCTTTCAAACCATCCTTAATTAAAATAAAAAATCAATGTGTAAAAATTTTATCGTTTCCACAGACTTTCACGAAAGTAGACGAACACTGACAAAACAATAAGCAAAAAAAAGCGACGCACACGATTTTTCTTTTATTCTTTAGTATTGTATATCATTTTAATTATAATTTTCAATCAGCAACACTAAAGTTCGTCTTTCACCAATTTTAACATTTCATCTTCCTCGTCAGTCCATTCATCCGGGCTATTGCTCATTTGTCCCAACGCTTCCATTCTTCTCTCCATAGTTAGTTTGTCTAATATATGTTCCATCTTAATATGCATACAATCATTAAAAACTGACGCATATTCACAGATCTCGAAAATACCTTCTACCGCTCTATTACATTCAACTATCGCCGCTTTTAATCTTGTCATAACCTCTCTATCTTCACCATAAACAGCTTTATTAGCTTCTAAAAGAGAATTGTGGTCTATTTTATTCTTTTTTATAATAGAATTACGTTTCAGAATACACGCTACAAAACATTTGCCTTCCATTGTTGCTTGTGGTATTCTTTTTAAGAAATTTTCAACGTCGCCCTTTCCCGCTTTAACTTGACGGGCGCATTCCGATATGTTTCTTCTAAATGGTTCCACTTCACTGTCCATTTTATTTATTTTTTCAATATGTTCCTCTTTCGTCAAAGGTTTAAACGTTACAACAAGATAGAACACTGAGATGAATGTCAAAAACATCATGACCGTTACGAAATTAGTGTTTTGATTCATTTTTATTCTGTTGCTGGGCACACTTTTCTTTCTTAAAATCCTCATGCTAGTGAAATGTTGGAATTGAAATGTTGCATTTAAATTGATCGTTAACGTAGAATGACGTGTTATTTGGCTATTGGTGTGGATATCTCGCTAATTGTTATCGTAATAGTATAATAAAAATTACTATCTCGAAACGTTAAATGGTCGTGGTGAAAGAATATGCAATACTTTCGGAAACTATAGGCTAGCCGCAACATCGTCAGCGGGAAAAAAAACAGTCTAAAATTATTGCACCTTCCAGTAAAAAACCCTTCAAATCAATGCAAATGTTTATGAGATTACAAGGAAAAAACGCAGCTGGACAAGAACCCACAGAAAAATACATATTTATACAGGTGGTTTTTGTCTTTTCCTTCCGTTCTTAGAAAATAAAAGCTAAGAGAAAGTTAGAAAAAAGGCTATATACCCCCTGATTTTTTTTTGCTGCTGTTTATGTTGAGAGGACTAAATTTCACACAATAATTACATATTAGCAAAAAAAAAACATTGTAATTTTCAAATCTTACATTTTATTTGTAACCGAATACATAGGTTATAAGTATTTTGAGATCAGACCAAATGTTGTTCTAACAAGAAAATGTTTATTGAATTACGAAATTATGAAATGTCCAATAGGTACGAACTACATACTTTTTTAATTTAAACATTTAGTTTAAGCAAAAACGTTCCATGTTCCCACAGATACAAGTCTTAAATCAAACTAAGATTACCTAACACTACAATATTTCTTAAGAAACTTTAGATTTTTAAGAAAATTTAGATAACATATTTGTTCAGGGCATTGTATACCTAACGCACACCCTTTGAAATATAAAAAAAAATCGTTTGACAGATAAGGTTAGTGTTGGGAAAGAAATTACCGTTTTATTATTACGCATCGACAGAATTTTCGCGCGTTTGTAAGTTTTTTATGTATGTTAATTCAATTGAGACAGCCTAAAACTGAAGTCATATTCCCCGGTTGTCATAGGTAATCTATTACAGCCTCGGTCAGTCGATTTTTTTTTAATTATTTTTAATTCATAAATATAGATTAATTTTGACTTTTCTTAGCAAACGTTTTTTTTTTGTTTACAATATGCTAGTTCTTGAAACCTAAATAAAACAGTAACATTTTTTTACACTATGCTGTGTTAATTGCAACGTTGCTAAGTTTTAACAACGAAAAGTTAATATTTTTTTAAGAATTGTATACTTCTTTCATCTAAATACATCACAATACGATACCAAGTCGTATCTTTAATTAAAAAATCTAAAGTTTTCCATATATTCACAATTAGGATTAAATTGTTTTCACATCCATCAAAGATAAGCTCATAGCTCATAACCATTCCTAAAGTCAAGGAAATATTTTTGACTTCGAAAAATTCAGTCAACGATACTGTATACATAAAAATATAAGATTATCACAATTATAATTTAAATGCTAATAGAAAATTCCAAATAACTTTACCTCAAATGACAAGAATTTAATTTCCTAAAAATACAAATAGAAATGGGCAGATTTTTTTATGTTGGCAAGTCCAAATTTTAAAAAACCAGCAATTTCTCGTCCAAATTGTTATTCGATCAATATATAACGGCAAAATATAAATAAAACAAAACACTGGCAAAGAATAACCGGTTACAAAGAATAGAAAAACTTTTTTTTTTAAATAACAATTTTAGAGACGTAACGTTTATTACAAGATTTAATTAGATTTGTTTTTGTAAATATATAATTATTTTTTTCCAAGTTATAACTATTGTTAAATATAATTTATTGTACATTAATGCTTTGTGCAATACTAATGTAATATCGTAGTTTTATAAATATTAATGTGAGTGTTGCTAGGTTTTGTTTACAAATAGACCTTGAGAACTAGTCACGGAGGTGTTTTTAAAACAACATTCTTTACACAATCGGTTAAAATGCATACAAATATGTATTAGGAAGCATAATTAGGCCTTTGAGCGGACGAGACATCGCGTTTTTTCATTATTTGAACACAATTTGTAATAATATTTGTTGACCCATTTTTACATCCAATTTACAAAATTAGACTTATGAATATCACGAAATTAATTAAGTAACGGTAAAGTTATACAAAAAACATCTCAAAAGGTACATTCATTCAAATGTTATGTTTATATGGTAACATTACAAATTAGAGCACAAACTCTTTCATTACGCATCTATAATATCGAATAAAAACAACACTTTCATGCGCTCGCAAAAAATCATGGCTTTCACTTTTTCACATCCCATTGCAAAATAAACAACCTCGAATTGAGATTCACAAATACACTCCCCGAGGGGGATTCGATCACCGAAAACAAAAACCGATATTATCGGTTAACTAGTTTAACTCTCTTCGGCTTCAACTAAAACCGGTAAACTGGCGTGATGGTGACAATTTGGTGATGTATTTGAAGTAAAAGCTGACAACCAGGCGTCAATATCGCGTTCGGAGCAAAGAAACTTCGCGGATATGGCGTTATCATAGCCCTTCTGTCTGACAAAGAAGCCGTTGTCTGATGCCACGCGCTCCACTGTTGTGTTCCTCAAGTTAACTACTCCGATAGGCTTCGATAATCGCTTCCTCGGGTATATAACAGCGAAGTGCTCCAGCGATGTTCTGTACACAACCACTCGAACGTCCTGCCGCAAGCCGCCCGGCCCCAATAAAACTAGGAAGCCGGACTTCACTTCAGCATCACAAGTCTTCTTGTATCTACTGAACTGCTCCGCGCGGCAATTAGGCATAACGTCGGTCGGCATTTCCCTGTTTTGATTTTCACAAGCTCGCATCACAGCGCGTACGTCGGTAACACGTCCTCTCCCCTCGGCGTCTGAACTGAACTGAAGTAAAATGAAGTCAATCCCCTGTTACCCTGTTTCATACCGAGTGCGTTGTGACCCGAAGTCAACTTCGTGCAGGTTCGGATGGAATCGGTTTTGCATTCACTTTACCGGAGGTTTTATCGGGCGGATGAAAATTGTTAATTCCGACATAACGCAACCTTACTACTTAGTACTTAGAGCTAGTCACAAAATCTTAGCGAATTTTAACAATTACCAATGAATGAGATAACGAAGCACTATATTTTTATATTTTCCTACACAATGTACCCCATAAGATGGGCTTAGGATCTGATCTAGATTATTGGACTTAGAAGGTCTAAGATACCAAGGAATCGATCAAGGAAGGATGTGATTTGAAGAAATGCGTATTAGACAATTGTTAAACCAAAAATAGATTAAATCTTCTATAAATTTCCAAGATAAATGTAATAGTAAAATGAATCAATATTATTCAGCATTTACGCGTTTGGTTTAGACAGTCTAGACAACGAATACAGGGGGTCACAGCGGGTACATCTGACCTTTACAAAGGTCGTCGTCACGCCGGCGACGGTCATGGGGTCGACAGTATAATAAAACCATTATTAACGTTATACGCAGTGGATATGCGAACTGAGAAGTTTTTGTATTTTATCAGCCAACCTAAATACTTACTCATATTCATAAATGAACAAGTTGCCTGTCTATCGGTACTCATGTTAATTTAAAACGAGACTTGGAAGAGTAACGCATTTTATGAAACAGTCTGACACAAAGACGCGTGTCCTCACCATTTTATGTTCAAGGTTGACAAGAGAATGTACCAGCTTTATGTCTATCGTGAAACGTTAATCTTATTAATTGGAGATAATAAAATTAAATAAACAAAAATGGCAACACTAGTGAAGTGGATAAATAATATCTGTTAGTTGTCTACAACTTTAAAAGCTAAATAGCAAAGAATTCCCATTAATACGAAGACAAAACAAATTGAAAACTTCTATAGGCTATAAAATATAAAATTAGCATAATAGTGAAAGATTTTAGTAGAACAAAATATATTGTTATGGTACATTTGACATTTCCAGATTACGTTCGCAAAGTAAATGTCAAATAATTTATTACGCACTAGCTTTAGCAAAACTAAAGTAGTCCACGTGTTCTTCCAGACTATGCTCTACATCTATGCCAAATTTCATCCAGATCGGTGCTGCCGTTCAGGCTACAAACTCTAACAAACATTCATCCATCTAAACTTTCGCATTTATAATATTAATAAGATGAGTAAGATTAAACTTTAGGCGTAAAACGTCTGTAATTACTAATCACGACAATTTGGTATTTTATACGGTATTAGATTTTGTTTTAAACATATACTAGTTTTTTTAGCCCACGGGACTCTTCATTTTGGAAACCAGTTTAGTTGTCGGGAAACTAACATTGAGATTTTCGGAAAAATTGTAGTAGCTATGTTTATATCAACTGTAAACTGCATTTTAATTTTATTTACATTAAAATTTATTAAGCATACCTAACAAAAACAACATAATCAATAAATAAAACTGGTTTTCTTTAATATATGTGAACAGACAGACGTCTGTCTGTATTTAATATGCGATATAGCGGCGACCTTCGCAAGGTTGTTGCTAAAATACAATCTTAGTTTTTGTCCAAAAGTGATAAAAAAGGTGTATACATAAAGTTGGTGGCCTTGTGATCTATGGAATACCGTGATGCTAAATGTACAACATACTAGTGATAACCTTCGACTCCGTTAGTGCAGAATTAAACAAACAGTAGACTATAATATTGACAGTTACATCAGCTAATCCTCTAGCGAAAGTCCCATCGAAATCGGTTCAGCCGTTCCGGCGATAACTCGGAACATATGGATTGGATTTCATAAAAAAATGTAGACAACATTTTTGTACGGGTGTTGGCATAAAGAATCCATGATACCACAGATAATACAATAATATGCTATTATAACTACGATAAGCTAAAAAAAGAGCAAAGATTTGTTTGTACCTAATAACCTCAAAATCTACTTTACTAATTTTCCGAAGTTATTAATATTAAAAAGCTTAATAATTAATGAAACAGCGTACATTTAATTACAAATCTGTTTAGATAAAGCTATGAAAGTTTTCTACGAGAGTAGACTAGTTATATCGTCTTTCTTTTGAACGTAATACGTATTCTATTAAAAAGTATATTTAATTTCAAACTTCATCTTTTGTCTAGACAAGTCATAAAATATTTAATAACTAGTCTAGACATACCTTTTAATTCAGTCTTTTTTGTTATTCAAATTACATTTAAAGAAATTTAAACAACATAAAATTAAGTGAAAACATGTCAAGAATCCTTCGAAGGATCCTTTTATATTAAAAGCGATAAATATGAATACATCTGGTCCCTTTTTTTTCTACTAAAATATCGAATTAACAAATTGTAGTTTTGTACGTTCAACTTCGTGATGCAATCTGCATAAATCTGTGAAGAAATTGCAAAGATATGTGAAGTCAACCCGCAATGGACTAGCGTGGGTAACAACGGCGTAGTCACCCTTAACTTAAAGTAATCGCCAAGCGCTTTTTTTAT